CATTACTAGTAGGTTGGAGGCCATCGCTATTAGTTTGGAGGCCATCGTTCTTAGCTCTGTTGGAAAAAAAGAAAGAGGGATAAAACAGAGCGTGCTGTTCAGTCCTCGTTATTTGTCTCTGAAAGGCGAGCTCAGCATCGTATCAAGGAGGACAGCCACAAGTTCAGCATGTTCTGGATTTCGTTGCCTAGTCTCGGTTCTAGTAGCGTCCTTGCCCCTAGTAGCGATGCCAGGAGCCCCTAGTAGCTTCTTGTTCCTAGTAGTACGGCCAGGAGCCCCTAATAGCGTCCTTTGCTCCTAGTAGTAAGGCACTTGTTACTAGTATCTTGTTGAGTTCGTTGTATCGTGTGTAGTTTCGTTCTTGCTGGTCTTTGATTAGGAGAACTTGGGAATCCTGCAGCGCTTGGAGAATGCCATTTGGCGAAGGAGACAGTCAAGCAAAATGTTTCCAAGAGATAAGATAACTCAAAGCAGTTATGCGGGCTGAAAGCAAGCTCAGTTGAGTAGCACTTGTTCAAGCAAGCCAAGCAAGCTCAATTTTCCGTCCCAAACAATGTTTCAATTTCTGGATGCTTTTGGAGACAAATTGCACTTCCAAAAAGTAATTATGTAATTGTGGACAGTTTTGCATTCTTTCTTCTTGCCAAAGCTAAACGTTGCAAACACTTCATTCGTTTCAATTGAAGTGCTGAGGTGAAGAGCAGTTTCACCCCGCGAATGCCTTCCAGTCGCATTCCAAAAATCTCACCACGCAACAGGCCATCCGAGTTTGATGAAAGTTGACAGTTGAAGCTTAAGCAACGTTACTACTAGTAGCTCCTGGCATCGCTACTAGGAACCCGGGCATCGCTACTAGGAGCAAGGACGCTACTAGGAAGAAGGACGCTACTAGTAGCAACATTGCTGCTGTCTTGCCATTCTTCTTCGCTTTTGCGTTCGTTCAGACTCTTTGCTCGGTCCAGGCTGTTGAGCGGACCTGGGCAGTGAGTTTCTCCCCAGAGCGAAGCAGTTCAGCTCCAGAAGGGAGCTCTCTTTGTTTTGCTCAAGATATTTGTGAAGGAATTCCTTTCGCTACTAGGAGCAAGGATGCTACTAGGGGCTCCTGGCCTTACTACTAAGAGCAAAGGGCATTGCTACTAGCAGATTCTCATTTGCGACCTGCGCTTCATAACCTGCTCCAACACGGAGTGGTAACTCGACAGAAGAAAAAAGGAGTGAAGAAAGACCTAGTAAGCGAACATTGTTACTAATAGCGTGGCACTTGTTACTACTAGTAAGGCACTTGTTACTAGTAGCGATGCACCTGTTACTACCAGACCTAAAGGGCCGTTCAGGAAGAACCGAACGACGTGCTTTGCAGCCGGACTTCTCGGGCAAAGCACAAACTGGACAAACTGGACGTAGTCAGTCGGCCGGACTTGTCGTTCACCCATTCGTTGAAACACCAAATCTTGGTTGCAGCATGTTACAGGTACATCGTCATCAAATGCACACATTGTTCTTCAGATATGACATGGAGGGCATGAAGGCAACAACGTCAAGGCAACCAATAACGAAATTGGCACACAACATGTTTTTGAAACGAGAACATCTACGAAAAGCTGTTGTTTTTATTGCAAAAAGGTAGCTCTTTCGGTTTTTGTTCTTTTTCACCGATAGCACTTGTGGAGCCCCATGCACTTGCCTCAAAGGACCAGAGTGTCCCTTTCGACTGACCCTCATCTTTTGATGCGAGGTCGAGCGATGGCAAATCTGACCGTCAGGTGCGACGCTCGAAGTCTTTCTTGTTTGCCAAGAGAAACCCGGCAATGGCCGCGATGGCGTCCAACCCAATAGTGCTGAGCAAGACATTGAAGGGTCAATCACTTTCTTGCTTTTAAGGGGGGATAAGGTGTGGTAAGCTTAAGCAGCTTGTAGGAAGGGGTAGCTACTAAGCTTAAGTAGCTACTAATTACCTAGGATGGGAACTAGGGCTCAGGCTTCTTCAAGGAAGCTCCCAAGCATGCCACTTCATATCCTTTCCCACATCATCTGGCACACCACCTCCCGCAAAGCAATCCATTTCCCCTGCGTTTTTGCATGTTTTCTTCCACCAACACTTCCCCTCCAGACACATCTCATGATGCAGGATATGCATTTCTATTCCAATGAGAAAGGCCCGCCCCTGCAAGCTAACGCTCTAGGAGCTCAGTGCACGTACCCAACACAATCACGCCCCTCAGCACAGGTGCGGGGTGTTCTCGTTGGCTCAGTTGTTCTGATATGGGAGCTCTCAGACTGTGTTCCCGTGTGTGCTCTTACTTGTGCTCATGTGAGTGCTCTCCTGCATTGGGTCAATTGCAGAGATCTTACAGGGGTCGACAATACCCTCCACTGGGGCCTTGGACCTAAGACAACGCAAGCAACACAAGCAGGCAAATTCTGCGCTTGTTGCATTTGAACCAAGTACTTGTGTTCGTTGTGGTTGGATCGTTGATTAGTGCTGGTTGACAGGGCGTTGCGGGGTTTCGGTCACCGTTGCCACCGTGGTTGAAGACAGATGACCTGCAGGCTCTGAATTGACAAATGAAGTTGTAAGATGAAACAGTAAAGCATAATGAACCATTAGCATGCCTCGCTATTAGGTTGGAGGCCATCGCTTCTAGGTAGGAGGCCATCACTGTTGGATTGGAGGCTATCGCTATTAGGTTTATTAGGCCTAGTAAGCATGTCTATTACACAAAGCAGCTTCGTCACAGTGTTCTGACAGCAGCGATTGGTTTCAACCACAACAACCACAACCATATGTCCAGGTTCGAACGCCTTTGAAGCCACCAGCTACACCAAAAGCACCGATGTTGCCTAATACATCTTGGGTGTGGACCTTATGGATGGCATTTGTGTATGAGTTCACAAGAAGTTCCAACAAATCATAGACCTTTGAAAACGTTTGTCGAAAAAGAATAGACATGAGTCAAACAACAATGCCCAGATGCAAATTGTGGAAGAACGCCGTCGAGCAACCGAAGAGCGTTTGGGGCCAAAGGCGCAGAACAACTTTCCCGACGATCACCACAAATGTTTTTATCAAGAATCCTTTTGATTGCTCCTAGTCGCGTCCTCTACCCACCCCCGCGCGCGCGCGCGCGAAAAAACTCCTAGGAGCGTCCTTGTTCCAATTCTAGTTAAATTCTATTTCTTGTTTCTATTAGCTTCTTGCTCCTAATAGTAAGGCCAGGAGCCCCTAGTAGCTTCTTGCTCCTAGTAGTAAGGCCAGGAGCCCCTAGTAG